TGACTCAAAAAAAAGAAGCTTCCCTTAGAATGAAAAAAACAAACAAAAACCATAATGCTTCTCAAAAGAAACCATGGTGTGGGAACTAATTAATATTGCTGTTCATTTCTGAATAATCCTCCTGAAAAGCCACAGTACTCAGCTTAGAAGAAATGGCCAATTCCAGTAAAATATCTCTGAACTTTTTTTTGTTTTGTTTTGTTTTTTAAATTTTTTTTTGAGACGGAGTTTCACTCTTGTTGCCCAGGCTGGAGTGCAATGGCGCAATTTCTGTTGGGGTGATCAGACCTAACACCAGGCCATGGGGGCTACAAAGTCCAGCAGAGTCAAAGGAATGAGAAAAGACAAGAGTACGTAAGGTGGGCCCAGGGGGCCAACACTGGTATGGAGGCTGCGAAGGCCCCAAGCTCTGGGAGCCCACACTATTGGTGATCAAACAAAGATGCAGGTGGTGAGGATGTGTGGATGTGGGGGTAAACAGGTGAGGGTGTGAGGACGTGGGGATAGAAAGGTAGCACTGCATCAAGCATAGCTGTGATGGTTTAGTATTTTCTTTGATGCATATAGAATATGCTCTGCTGCTTGAGATAATGGAGAACATGTTTATGAGCCTGGGAGAGCAACCAACAAGTCTGTGCACATTCCAGCGGCCATGAAGGGTTTTATGCTCTGAGCCCTGGATTCCATCCAAGCTACGAGGGGTTTTATGCCCTGGGCTTAGATTTGTGGTGTGGCAGAGCAGACTTCCACCCTTTGGCACAGAGCTTGGTGTTCCAAAGGCCATGAGAGGTTTTAGACCCTGGACCCCAGACATCTTTCAAGACGCTTTTATATTATGACAGACAAGCCAATCCTGCCTCAGCTCTTCTACCAACATGTCTCCCTTTTCTTTTTCACAAAACCGCCACAGCTATTATTGCTTGTTCTTGGTGGCAGCTTTCTCTCCAGAGGCGGCTTCCGCATCTGCAGACTACATAAAGACAAATAACACAGATTAAAAGCACAATCCTTATTAAAATCACAGAGCCTCCAAGTGTCTTGATCCACTTTAGTGGGTTAACAGCTGCTAATCTGTCTGCAGCTCCTTCAAGCACTTCAGTTCCTGGCATTAGTGTCATATGTGACTGAGAGGTTTGAAATATTTGTTCCTTCAATTTTGCAAGATCTAAAGATAAATTTCCAGTATGATCTTTTAAATGTCTCTTAACTTTTTCCCACGCATGCTCTGTTTTATTATACAGATAAGGAGTAATGTAAAAATCAGAGGTATTTCAATCACATTGTATTTCAACTTTACTTTTTAAACTTATAAAACAATCTCCCATTCAAATCACTGTCTGATGGAGATCATTAATTTAGTTAACTATGTTTTTTATTTATTTGGGTTTGAGAGTTCCATAATTTTGTGGAATTATTTTGCCACTTACTGACAAATGTAACGGTTTGTACAGATGAATGCAGAGCCACACTAGCTATTGCAGTAGTAGTAGTAACAGCAATGAGGTCAATTATAGCAACTATAAATCTTTTTGAATGGGATAAAAGTTTTTTAAGGTTTTCAGTTACTATATGAATGGATGGAGATGCCTCCCACAGTCTATTTAAAGACATAGGGATCCAGACTCCTTCCCTGGCTTTAATTTTTAGGATAGTCTGATTTTTATTAAAAGTTGAATTAATGCAGGTAAACAAATGACATTTGGGGCATGAAATAATGTGTGTATTTATATTAAGAGTAACATTTCCTATTGCCAGCGCAAAAGGTGGCCGAACACAACTTTGAATCCAAAAAGTCCTGTTGGAAAGAAAAGAAAGAGCATATTTATTTTTACCTCCCTCCCCTTTATAGTTGTTATATTTACCCTCCCAAATTTTTATTGAACTTTGAGCCATCGCTAATAATTCAGAATGTTCCTGTCCTATGGCAGGAGATATTATTTTTGGACTAGGGGTGACAATGCCAGTAGGACTCCATATGATAAGGACCTAAGCTTTTGTCTGAATATATTGTGCATGATTTCATTGCCAATGATTCCATCGGTTTATTACATTTATTCTACAAGAAGGCCTTCTGGTGCCTTTTTTTTTTTTTTTTTTTAAAGATCCTCTTAGGGGACTAATTAATGATGATTCCATAGGAATTATTTTGTAGTACCTCAGCCTTACTTGCTATACAATCTTCCCAAGTTTAAGCATCCACACCTTTAAACTAAACTCTATTTTGTTTATATTTGAACTTATTTTGGACGGAACTGCAGGGTTTTAGGATGGGAATGATTATATTTTAAACTACACCCCAAAATCATGTGCAAAGCAGCCCATGATTTATTTTTTCAGGTACTACTGCCACCCAGGCCTGTGTGTCAATCTGTAAACAGCCAACAGCAGGTCCCAGGTATATTGGGGGATATTTATATTCTATGGATATATTTATTTTTATCCCTTCTTCATTAAGATGCACTGGCCCTCGGCTATCTATGGGCTCAGGCATCCAGGTACTGTCGTTGGCGTACACCTCAATAACACAGTCCATCCAACTCACAGACCTAATTAAAGGAGGAAATGGGACATATGCCCAATAAATGAAGTTTTGAGTTGCTCCAAAATATTGAGGCTTACCACCATGGTGAGTGTCACCAGCATGGCCACCATCAGGTTACTAGTTGTTTTTAGTTTGTTCTGTGCTTTCAAGTTGTCTGTTGCCATCTGCACCAACTTCTTGATTTGTCCCCATTTTGGAGAATTTGCCTGATAACTATTCGTGTTTTTTTCCTTCATCTTTGAGATATATATTTGTGCCATCACTCATATTGGGAGTTCTGGCTCTTCCCAGAGTCCTCTCTTCCCGCTGTAGCTCATAATAGATCTTCAGATGTTTGGTGGGCACCCATACAGGCACCTGATTGTTACCTGGAGAGACACAAACAAATTCTCTTCCCCATATAATTATCTGCCCTTTGATTAAGTTTCATTAAAGGGCCAGGGAGGTTAGTACGTGCTCTTATATGAGTGTTATAGAAAGGGGAATGCCTTTGTTGTACTGCTTGCTGTAAAGAATGAAATAAGGCCGGGCGCGGTGGCTCAAGCCTGTAATCCCAGCACTTTGGGAGGCCGAGACGGGCGGATCACGAGGTCAGGAGATCGAGACCATCCTGGCTAACCCGGTGAAACCCCGTCTCTACTAAAAAATACAAAAAACTAGCCGGGCGTGGTGGTGGGCGCCTGTAGTCCCAGCTACTCGGGAGGCTGAGGCAGGAGAATGGTGTGAACCCGGGAGGCGAAGCTTGCAGTGAGCTGAGATCCCGCCACTGCACTCCAGCCTGGGTGACACAGCAAGACTCCGTCTCAAAAAAAAAAAAAAAAAAAAAGAATGAAATAAAAGATTAAGTTGGTCATTAGTAACATTTTGAATTAAGGCACATTCAATATTTTGCGTGGCTTGCACTACATAGCTGAATCAGAAACAACGTTTACTGGCAGTTTAAAAGTTTTTAACACTGTTATCACAGCCATAAGTTCAGGCCTTTGAGCAGAAGCAAAGTCAGTTTGAAAAACGTGTTGTTGAGGTCCCACAAATGAAGTCTTTTTATTACTAGATCTATCAGTAAAAACCGTAATGGCCCCTTCAGTAGGGGTTTTTTGAATAATGGAAGGCAATATCCATGATGTTAATTTAAGAAATCGGAATATTTTGGATGTAGGATAATGATGATCAAGAACACCAATAAAACCTGCCAAATCAACTTGCCATTCCTGGGAATTAATATAAGCCTGCTGAATTTGTTGTTTGCTTAATGGAACTATAATTTGATTTGGATCATATCCCATTAACTTTGTTGTGCGCAGCCTTGCTTGTCCTACTTGCCGATCACAGGAAGAGGGAGGAAATGAGCCAGATCAGTAACCAACAGTGCTTCAGTCAAGAAAGACCATTTTTCTGATGCCAAGATGTAACTGATTTAAATTGACAGCATCACTGAACTGTAAAATTTGTATGTGGCACTTTAGGCCTCATCTTTTGGCATGGTTTCTAATATCTTAACTACTACTAACAACACTGATAGGCAGTATTATTATGGGTGCTTACCATATCGAAGATACTCTGCCAAGTCAATAACCCTATGAGGAAAGTACCATTATTGTCCTCATTTTATAAATAAGATGACTAAAACCCAGAAGGTTATGTAACTTGTTCAAGGTCGCACAGCAAGTGATAAACCTCGAACTGGACCCAGCCAATCCCACGTTCTGTTCTATGACCCAATGTGCTAAGCACTGACCTGTACTATGAAAATCAAAGGGCAAGGGAGATATAATCCTTGTCCTTGAGAAACAGCATGATTAGGAATGACAGGCTGGGTAGACATGAACAATCCCTGGGAAGATTATGAGAAAAGCAATACACGTAAGTGTTAACAAACAGAAAGAGGGGCAGCTCTGCACAGTGCTGTCACTGGCAAGCAGACAGAGGGATGGAGTTGAGAAAGAAAAACCAGCTAAGTTTTGTGGATGGAGAGAGTTCTGGGCATCACTTTGAAGAAGGAAGACATCATTTGGTGGAGGAAGATAGAAGAAAACGATATGCAAAAAGGCATACAAGACATGTCATGTGGATTGCAAGCAGGGTGGGCTGTTTGAAAGAGAGTTGGGTCAGTGGGAGAGGAAGAGGAAGCAAATCGTTGGAGGAAACCATTCAGAGAAAGGCCTGAAAGACAGCGACCTCCCATTTGGTAAACATCTTTCCCTGGCAATATGAAGGAACTACCATCTCATTTGAAAATGCAACACTGTACCCTGGATCTGAGTAGCACTCTCTGGAGCCTTCCCAGGGCCCGGCCAAGACCCTTCCTTGTGGTTCTCCATGATCAGTCCTCGGGATAATGCTTATGCTGGCCCCACCATCCACCTCCTGGTGCTCATGGTGGAGGTCTCCGCAAGTTAGAGCCCACGTGAAGGGTGCCTGCTGGGCTCTCACATCATCTCCAACCATGGAGGAAAGGTCAGCAACCACTCTACACCGTGAGCACTGCAAACCACGACCCCAAATTTATTAATGCCAGTCAGGCACCCAACTTTGGCTTCAGCTTGTGCCTAGTCTTTTCCACAGCTTCCCTGTGGCCTCCAGGAATGCCCTAGGGCACCAGAAGAAGCTGGGCAAGCTGTCAAATGACTCCCTGGAGTGCTCCTAGGCAAGACCTGTGGCTCTGAGAAGCAACTAGAAATCATTGCTAGAGTCTGAGACCAGACTGCTGCATCTGGAAGGTAAGTCCAGAATATTCTTGGATGATGCCGGGGTGTGGAGGTATGGGGGCTGATGTAGGATGCAGCCTGAGGTAGCTGACATCTGATCAGGGCTACCATGTGAACAGATGTAGGGGTCCGGATGGTAACAGGGATGGAAAAGAGAATTAGGACCCTAACAAAGTCCTGACTTAGGCTGTGAGGTAAATTTTCAATGGTGACTTAACAGAAAAATCAGAAAGTTGGTAACATTATCAACAGGAAGAGTGACATAATAAAAAGGGGGGAGACAAAGAATAGCCATGATCACTCTGAAGAAGGAGGAGGAGGAATGGCGTGTCCCACCCGCCATTATGACTTATAAAGCAATAGCAATGAAAACAATATGGCGGCAGTGCAGGTACAGACGGACAAGGAAAGGCAGATCTTACGCCTGACCCAAGATGAAAGAAAGAGCCCAGACAGAGCCCCGTGTATTTGAGAGCTTTTGAAAGAAGGGACTACAGGCCGGGCGCGGTGACTCACGCCTGTAATCCCAGCACTTGGGGAGGCCGAGGCGGGCAGATCACCAGGTCAGGAGTTCGAGAGCAGCCTAACCAACATGGTGAAACCCCATCTCTACTAAAAATACAAAAAATTAGCCAGGCATGGTGGCGTGCACCTGTAATCCCAGCCACTCGGGAGGCTGAGGCAAGAGAATCACTTGAACCCGGGTGGCAGAGGTTGCAGTGAGCCAAGATGATACCACTGCACACCAACCTGGGCAACAGAGCCAGACTTTGTCTCAAAAAAAAAAAAAAAAAAAAAAGACAAAACCCAAAAACTACCCGCCCCCACAAAACCCACAAACCACAAAGGAAAAGATTGATACATCTGACTACCTTAAAAACAAACAAACAAACAAAAACTTCTGTACACCAAAGCCACAAAATAAACAAATAAATGAATAACACAGACTGGAGGATCTCTGCAGCAGATAACAAAGGACTGATGTGCAGAAAATATATAAAGAGTTGTTACAAGTCAATAGGAAAAGTCAAACAAGGCAGTTTTTTTTTGTTTGTTTTTTTGTTTTTAATGGAGAAAGGGCAAATGATAGAAAAGAAAACCCAAATGGTCAATCAATACACAAAATGACACGCAACCAGGAAAACACAAATGAGAAGCAATGAGATCACATTTATCCTGTCAGACTGACATATATGTTAAAGTTTGAGGACATAAGGAAACTGGAACTCTCATACCCAGCTGGTAGGATTATAAATTGGTAAAAGGACTGGGCGCAGTGGCTCACGCCTGTAATCCCAGCACTTTGGGAGGCTGAGGCAGGCAGATCACAAGGTCAGGAGATCGAGACCATCCTGGCTAACATGGTGAAACCCCGTCTCTACTAAAAATACAAAAAATTAGCTGGGTATGGTGGTGGGCGCCTGTAGTCCCAGCTATTCTGGAGGCTGAGGCAGGAGAATGCTGTGAACCTGGGAGGTGGAGCTTGCAGTGAGCAGAGATCGCGCTACTGCACTCCAGCCTGAGTGACAGAGCGAGACTCCGTCTCAAAAAAAAAAATCAATAAGTAAAAGATACTAATAAATTGGTAAAACACTTTAAATGCTTTCTGACAATAACTAGTAGAATAAAGCATGTGTCCATCCTATGACCCAGCACTTAAAGGAATATGTGCTAGAGAGGTTCTGGCATACACTGAGATGTACATGACACAGATGTTCATCAAAGCACTTTTGTGCAGACCCAGAATCCACTGACTTTCCCCATCCAATCTCTATTTGCTTTGAACCAATTAGAGAAGATGTAACCCATAATGCAATTCCAATCACTACATTTCATGCTATGAAAAGATATATGTGAAACAACAAAGCAAGTATGAATGGCATGATAGGAACTACTAATATGCCAAGTGGAAAATCTGTTTCAAACTGAACTGGGAATTCCAACAACACAACATGCTGGAAGTCAATAAGAAACACTGGAGGCCAGGCGCTGTGGCTCATGGCTGTAATCCCAGCACATTGGGAGGCTGAGGGGGGTGGATCATTTGAGGTCGGGAGTTGGAGACCACCCTGGCCAACATATAGTGAAACCCATCTCAACTAAAAATACAAAATTAGCTGAGCATGCTGGTGCACGCCTGTAGTCCCAGCTACTTGGGAAGATGAGGCAGGAGAATCTCTTGAACCCAGGAGGAGAAGGTTGCAGTGAGCCTCGATCACGCCACTGTACTCTAGCCTGGGTGACAGAGCGAGACTCTGTCTCTCAAAAAAAAAAAAGAAAAGAAAAGAAAAAGAAAAAGAAACAGGTGATACACAAGCATGACTTGTTGGGAGTGTGGCCATTAGAAAATAGAAGACTTGCTGGGCACAGTAGCTCACACCTGTAATCCCAGCACTTTGGAATGCCAAGGCGGGTGAATCACCTGAGGTCAGGAGTTTGAGACCAGACTGACTGTCTCTACTAAAAATACAAAAATTAGCCGGGCGTGGTGGTGTGTGCCTGTAATCCCAGCTACTTGGGAGGCTGAGGCAGGAGAATTGCTTGAACATGAGAGATGGAGGTTGCAGTGAGCCGAGATCATGCCACTGTACTCCAGCCTGGGCAACAAGAGCGAGACTCTGTCTCAAAAACAAAAAAAAAAAAAGAAGAAGAAGAAGAAAGTCTTAGCCCTCTCTAGCATGGGGTCCATGGTGGGCTTGAGTGATAACAAAGCAGATAACTAGTAGCAAATAAGCCAGAGTCACTGTTGCTGTCTTCAAAAAGGTTTATAGAAGCTCTAGGAAGAATTTAAAAATGGAACTGCTTTTTAAAAGTTCATGAAACTATTCACCCCTCCTCAACCTGTAATACACATCTACTTTGCATCCAGGTTGCCTCTCATCACTGTGAGCATGAAACAGGGTTTGGGAGTTAAGAGATCTGGGTTGAAGGTTTACTTCTACCACAGACAAGCTGGGGGACACTGAGAAAGTCATTTAACTCCTTGGTGCTTCCCTCTCTTCAACTATAAAATAGGGATATTAATAATAACAATTATTTAAAGGGTTACAAATCTAAATGAAATATGAAAATGCTGTGTAACCTACATAGCATCACGTCAGTTTGTTGTTACTTTACTTAAAAGTAGTGGCAACAGGCTGGGCGTGGTGGCTCAAGCCTGTAATCCCAGCACTTTGGGAGGCCGAGACGGGCGGATCACGAGGTCAGGAGATCGAGACCATCCTGGCTAACACGGTGAAACCCCGTCTCTACTAAAAACAATACAAAAAACTAGCCGGGCGAGGTGGTGGGCGCCTGTAGTCCCAGCTACTCAGGAGGCTGAGCCAGAAGAATGGCGTAAACCCGGGAGGCGGAGCTTGCAGTGAGCTGAGATCTGGCCACTGCACTCCAGCCTGGGCGACAGAGCGAGACTCCGTCTCAAAAAAAAAAAAAAGTAGTGGCAACAATCTGGTCATTTTCACTTCACCCACTTTGCCTCTACATTTAGCTCATCAAAGGGCAAAACCTGTAAAGGAAAAAAATAGTCTTGAGATACGGTTCTTAAACCCAGCTGCTCATCAAAAGCACCTGCAGGGCTTGTTAAATGTAGAGCTTCTTAAGACAGAGTCTCACTTTGTAGCCCAGGCTGGAGTGCAGTGGCGTAATCTCGGCTCACTGCAACCTCCGACTCCTGGGTTCAAGCAATTCTCTTGCCTCAGCCTCCCCAGTAGCTGAGATTACAGGTGCCTGCCACCACACCCAGCTAATTTTTGTATTTTTAGTAGAGATGGGGTTTCACTGTATTGGTCAGGCTGGTCTTGAACTCCCAACCTCAAATGATCTGCCTGCCTCAGCCTCCCAAAGTGCTGGGATCACAGGCATGAGCCACTGAGCCCAGCCCTAAATGTAGAGCTTCTTGTGCCCCGGACATACTGAGTCAGATTCTCTAAAGAAAAGCTCCAGGACAGGGGACTGATCTTGGACTACACAGGGGACAAATGTGAGCCCCTTTACAATCATGGGGATCTCAAAAATAGAAGCTTGGCTACTAGCTCCTCTATAAAGTTCATCTAAATGAAATATTTAAGTGTAAAATGTTTATTTTTTCATTTTTTAATTTTCACTCATTCATTGTTCAGGTAAGTTCAGAAGTTTTCAGATAACTTTAAAATGTTACACTGAGACTATAATCCTAGGTGGCAACAATCAGTCCTCTCTAAACATGGCACAACTCACACCACTTGCTACTGTCTCACACTCAGTCAATTTCAAATACATATGCTACCACCAGGCCCCAGCTCCTACATTCTTTGCTCCCTCCTTCTGAACCAAATGGGAGTTACAAGAAAATCCAGTGGGAGTTCTATCTACTGGTTTGGGAAGATTCAGTGAGAAAGGAAAAACTGCATTTTAAACTAATTAAATCCAAAGATATTACACTACATGAGAAGATATTACTCTTTGTTCTCTTTTCCAAGTGTTTAAGCACCATTACTTTGAATTCTGGTGGTAAATTTTAAATGAACTTTCTAAAGATTTTCTTTAATAAAATAGATTTCTTAGAAAACACTTTTTATTTTGTGTTCTTATTTTCAGATTTCATCCCACTTTAAAATACCAATGCTTCTCATGGAAGAACAAAGAGATTCCACTAACTCACAGACACCTGTGCTCCATGTAACTATCAGCAAGTATAGCTGCATGGACAGACAATAGTTGCTTGCTTCTTTATTTTCACAGTCTGAGACTTTTCACTTGTTAATCATTAAAATAAAAAAATTGAAATTCGCTTTTTGTTTTTTGAGACGGAGTTTCGCTCTTCTTGCCCTGGATGGAGTGCAATGGCGCAATCTCGGCTCACTGCAACCTCCGCCTCCCATTCTCCTGCCTCAGCCTCCCAAGTAGCTGAGATTACAGGCATGCGCCACCAGGACCAGCTAATTTTGTACTGTAGAGATGGGGTGTCTCCATGTTGGTCTGCTGGTTTCGAACTCCCGACCTCAGGTAATCCACCTGCCTCAGCCTCCCAAAGTGCTGGGATTACAGGCCTGAGCCAACGCACCTGGCCAACAAATTGAAATTCTAAGTTAAATTGCTCAGTTCTCTATTAAGCCTCCACTGTACCTTTAACTTCATAATTACAACAGTCATTATACTGTATTAAATGTGTTACATTTGTCTTCTTATTAGAAATAAGCATCTGGAGGGCAGAAGTTATATCTTATTCATTCTTAAATACTTAGTACAGATCTGTGTTTTTTTTGTTTTTGTTTTTGTTTTTGTTTTTGTTTTGAGACAGTCTCGCTCTGTCACCCAAGTGGCTCACTGCAACCTCTGCCTCCTGAGTTCAAGTAATTCTCATGCCTCGGCTTTCAAGTAGCTGGGATTACAGGCATGCACCAACATGCCTGGCTAATTTTTGTATTTTTAGGAGAGACAGGATTTCGCCATGTTGGCCAGGCTGGTAATCCGCCCACCTCAGCCTCTCAAAGTGCTGGGATTACAGTCGTGAGCCACCACGCCCGACCCAGCTCTGGCACATTCTAAGTATGCAATAAACAAATGCAGAATACAAAATAAGAAAAGCAACAATAGAGAATACATAAATGCACAGTAATTACTATCCTTTAGGAATTTACAGTCTACTGAGGGTAAAAGAGACACATCGACAAAAATTATACAAGATAGAACATTTAAAATGCCACAGGAGAGAAATATAAAGTATAAGAAGAAATCAGGGAGGAAATTATAGCATAAGATATAAGTTACAGTATTTTCTTTTTCCCTGGACACCGATTTCCATCTCTAAATATTTGGCAAAAGTTCTTACCACTCAGTTTTAACCTCAGGTTTCTAGTGAATTTATACTCATCATGAAAAATACATATTACGACTTCAAGTGCCCTAAGAAAATATATCATATTCAGAATTATCTCCACTTTTTCTGGCCCAGTATATTTCAATTCTGTAGCCCTAGTATTCATCACCACTATCATATCTCCCCAGGATAGAGAAGTGAGCTAGCACCTACAGTTTAGGTACGTTAAGGCGTATTGGTTAAAAGCACAGGTTTCGGCACCATGATTCTACCACTTATTTGCTATAAGATCTTGGGCAAATTATTGCTCAGAATGTTAATTTCCTCACCTATAAAATGGGAATATCTACCTCAAAGAGGATTAAATTAGATAATCCATGTGCAAGCACTCAGTAAACAATAAATGATAGCTATAATAAAGGATTAACACTAAATATAGTGAACAGGGGCTTGCTAGTCAAACACATGCATAAACTGACTATATGTTGGGGGCCGCACCGGGGGTGGTGGAGAATGAAAGAACACACACAAAGACAAAGACACACAGAGAACATGGCGGCCGCACTCAGAGCCTCCGCCTCACTTTATTTATACTCCATAAACCTCAGGTCAGCAGAAAGAATGCAATGCAAAACAAACTTTCTTTTCCCACATGTAACCTTCTACTCAGTACCTTGTTTCTATATTCTTTCTTATCTACCCGCCTTCTTGGCGCCTACGGGAGTTCATTAAAAGTTCAGTTGGAGATACTGTCCTTGAGCCCTATCTATTCTCAGCATACTGTTTTCAAAGGCCCCTGCAACTATATACTGTGCTTCATAGTTCACTTGTTTTTTTGTTTTGTTTTGTTTTGTTTTTTGAGATGGAGTCTCGCTCTGTAGCCCAGGCTGGAGTGCAGTGACCAGATCTCAGCTCACTGCAAGCTCCGCCTCCCGGGTTCATGCCATTCTCCTGCCTCAGCCTTCCCAGTAGCTGAGACTACAGGCGCCCGCCACCTCGCCCAGCTAGTTTTTTGTATTTTTTAGTAGAGACGGGGTTTCACCGTGTTAGCCAGGATGGTCTCGATCTCCTGACCTCGTGATCCACCCGTCTCGGCCTCCCAAAGTGCTGGGATTACAGGCTTGAGCCACCGTGCCCGGCCGCTCACTTGTTTTATCAACCTTCATAGTTATACCTCCCTTTCCATTTCCAATGCTATTACTCTTTCAAGCCTTTATCTACACTCATACCCAGATAACTTTCTAAATGGTTTTCCATCTCCATCCTCAGACATTTATTGACCAGACTATTATTTTATTTCCACCACAAATGCCTGGCTGGGGTACTGGAAAGAGCTTTAGATTTCAAATCAAAGAATTTGGGTTTGGGTTTCAGTAGTATCACTAAAACATTATGGAATGCTAAAAATAAATTTCTCAACTGTATAAATGAGTTTTAGAGTAAATTATCTTCAATCTCTCTCTCTTTTTTTTAAGAAAGGGTCTCACTTTGTCACTCATGCTGGAGTGCAGTGGCATGATCTCAGCTCACTGCACCCTTGACTTTCTGAGCTCAAGCGATCATCCCACCTCAGTCCCCAAGGTAGCTGGGACTACAGGCATGCGCTAGGGTGCCCAGCTAATTTTTTCTTTCTTTTTTTTTTTTTTTTTGTATTTTTAGTAGAGACAGGGTTTTGCCATGTTGCCCAGGCTGATCTCAAACTCCTGAGTTCAAACGATCCACCCACATTGGCCTCCCAAAGTGCTAGAATTACAGGCATGAGCCACCATGTCCGGCCTTCAGTATCTCTTCCTGCTCTAAGTCTATACCTCCCTTCTGATCAAAAATTGCCTTTGGCTTACAAAATGCAATTCCGCACTGGAGGAGCATTAAAGCCTTCCACATTCAGTGTGGCATGAGTTTTGCAGGCAGAAGGACTAAGATCTTAATCCTGATTCTATAGTTTACTGGTTGCTTATCCTTGAACTATTAAACTTCTCTAAGACTCAGTTTCTTCCACAAAATGGGAATAACAGTAATTCTCTCAGGGGCTTATTATAAGATTTTAGTGAGATATTTTTTAAGTGCTTAGCACACAGTAAACAGTAAATAAGTATGAGATTTGTGCCTATTCTAATATTTCCCATTTCTGCCTTCTAGTTATAGGGGTGTGGGTGTGTGTGTGTTTGTGTGTGTGTGTGTGTGTTGAGACATGGTCTCACTCTGTCACCCAGGCTGGAGCACACTGACATGGACAGGGTTCCCTGCAGCCTCAACTTCCTAGCCTCAAGTGATCCTCCCACCTAAGCTGCCCAAGTAGCTAAGGCTAAGGGTGCACACCACCATGGCAGGCTAATTTTTTTTTTTGTAAAGACAGGGTCTCACTATTGTAGCCCAGGCTGGTCTCAAACTCCTGAGATCAAGAGATCTTCCCGCCTCAGCCTCCCAGATTTTTGTTTTTTTAAGACGGATTCTTGCTCTGTCACCCAGGCTGGAGTGCAATGGCACGACCTCAGCTCACTGCAACCTCCACCTCCAGAGTTCAAGCCATTCTCCTGCCTCAGCCTCCCATCTAGCTGGGATTACAGGTGCCCACCACCACGCCCAGCTAATTTTTGTATTTTTAGTAAAGATGGGGATTCACCATGTTGCCAGGCTGGTCTCAAACTCCTGACCTAATGATCCACCTGCCTCGGCCTCCAAGGGAGGTGGAGGTGTTGGGATTACAGGCGTGAGCCACAGCGCCCAGCCTAGTTACAGTTTTTAAACTGTTCCTGAAGACCTAGAACTCTGCTTCAATCAGAATGACTGAGTGGGCTGGGTGCGGTGGCTCACGCCTATAATCCCAGCACTTTGGGAGGCCGAGGCAGTGGATCACGTGAGGTCAGGAGTTCGAGACTAGCCTGGCCAACATGGTGAAACCCCATCTCTACTAAAAAATACAAAAATTAGCTGGGCATGGTGGCTCATGCCTGTAATCCAGCTACTCGGGAGGCTGAGGCAGGAGAATCACTTGAACCCAGGAGGCGAAGGTTGCAGTGAGCCGAGATTGTGCCATTGCACTCCAGCCTGGGTGACAAGAATAAAACTCCATTTCAAAAAAAAAAGGGGGGGGGGCGGGTTTCCCCTCTCTTTCATATACTGAAGTTCAACATTAAAAAAATTTTTGAGGTGGTTTCTTCTGTCAAAGAATGCATGAAATCCACTATACCATGGACACAGTCGGCTCCAATTAGCTATGCCTACTCTTTGTCAACTGCAATTACTGTGTATACATCAGTGTCTCCTATCTTTGGAAATATCTATTCCTCTCTCCTCAGGACTTCTTACTGAAGTCATCCCTAGTCACTCTTCTTTCGAACCCGTTTAGCATTTTATTTTTATTATTTTATTATTTTTATTATTTAGAGACAAGGTCTTGCCCTGCTGCCCAGGCTGGAGTGCAGTGGCATAATCATAGCTCACTGTAACCTTCAAATCCTAGACACAAGCAATCTTTTTACCACAGCCTCCCAAGTAGCTAGGACTATAGGTGTATGCTAACCTTACCTGGCTAATTTTTAGATGGGGTCTCATTTTGTTGCCCAGGCTCAAACTCCCAGGCTCAATTGATCCTTCTGCTTTAACCTTTTGAGTAACTAGGTCTACAGGCACATGCCACTGGAACTGCAACTTCTTTTCTGATTCTTATTTTTTCTTGACTTAACTCACATTTAAGGTCTTTTCATTTATCCTTTAAATGTGATGATCTCTGTACTAGGAAACAAGTAGTCCCTTTCTATACAGCATGCAAGTTCCCCATTCTCATTCCCTCTCCTCTCCTGCAATCCCTTTGATCCTTATATTTATTTTAATTTTTGTAGAGACAGGGTCTCGCTATGTTACCTAGGCTAGTCTTGAACTCCTGTCCTCAAGCGATCCTCCTGCTTTGGTCTCCCACAGTGCTGGGACTGCAAGTGTAAGCCACTACGTCTGGCCCTTTCCTTTTCTAT